ATTTTATAAAAGAACTTAATAATAAAAAGAAATAATTATTAAAAATAAAATTTTTAGCTTAATTTAAATCTCTGATAGCCTTAATAGCTTTCATAATAAAAATAGGTTTTTTAGGGATTATTATAATAATTAGCTGGTTAATTTACCTATATTAGCCTTTATCTATTTTTTATGTTTATAGTTATTTAGGCACAAGGAAGATTTAAAATTTTATTTTTTATATTTTTTTTAGTTTTTTTTTATATTTTTATCTCTTAGGATAATTATTATATATAATAATATATAATTCTTAATAGTTCGGGTAGTAAGTAGTATTATTTTTATAAATATTTAGTAGTATAATTTTTTAGGAAATATGCCCTGGTATAGTATAAATAATAAATAGAAATAAAATAAAAATACTAAATATATTTAAATTAATAATATTACAGATATTAGACTAGGCAGTAAACTAGATTATACAGCTTTATATTAAAGGGCTAATTCTGTAAATATAGATAATTTTTGTTGCACAGTTCTTTATTGCATGTTCTGCGGCTGTGGTCTTTACGACATCCTGTAATCCTGCACTGCAGGTGTTAGCGGTGTTCCGTAGCTCCCGCCTCCACAAGGCAGAGGACTTAGTCGTTTTGAACGAATAATCTTACCACTTTTATCAATCTAGTAGGAGGCTACTATATAGTAGTATGTCTGGTTTTATCTAAATTTTTTCTTATTTTATATTAGTAATAATTATCTATTCGACATTATCTGCTTATTATTGTTATTTTTTGTTTTTAATAGCTTTATTCCCGGAGTTCGTGGTATTTAGAGACTTGTCTTTTAACCAGCTCAGGTTTACTGTATTATTACTTATTATTTTTAGTTTTATTAACTTTTTTTATTTAGTTTTTTTATTTAGTTTTGTTATTTCCGATATCAAGAAGGCTCGCTGAGCTCACTTATTAAATTAATATATATTATTATATTTTATTATCTTACTTTGTTGACAATATCGACACATGTATTATCTAGCGTGCTTAATTTATTACTATAACCTTTTTACTTTTACTAGAATACTAATTTATATATCCTTCTGATTAGGATATTAATTATTTTTTATAAAACACGCCATTAAGAAATTTATTAAGATTTTAATATTTTTATTTACTAATTAAGTATTTCAGGACTGGTAAGATAATTATTTTATTAATTAATTATCTCCAGAGAGACCTCTCGCTATATTTATATTATAAATTATATTTATAATTTTATCATCAGACCTTATCAATATAATTAGTTATTTGTTACGTGTTGTTTCCCGTACCGAAAAAAGAAGTTATAATTAGGATAGGAAAGATAATAACAGTAAAAATAATAAGTCTAAGACCCCTACAGTTCCTGGAAGGTTTAACACAGTTATTTTACCAGCTACTATTAAGCTAACACGCAAAGTAAAAATAAAGAATATTAGTGAATATCTTAACATTACCAAATATTATTTGTTTAGTTTATTAAGTTCGGATCTAGTATCACAGGATTTTATATCTGCTGATCCTGACCCTGTTAATTTTAATATAGTTATTTTTTTTAAAGAAGAATTATTAATTTCTAATATTAAGTATAAGTTTAATTAATAAATATTCAATTTTATATATAACACTATACTAGAGCCTATTATACTACCTGTTATATTTTAGACTCCCGGTCCAGCTGCTGAATTAGCAAAAATAAAAAATATATTTATATAAATTTTTTAAGGACAGAAAGTTATGCAAGCTAAATATAATATTATATAAATTAATCTTATAAAGTCTTACTGCTTATTTACTAAGCAGTATAATAAATTAATTTTTTTAAAAAATTGCCCTATATTTAAAGGCGATAAAAGAGATAAAAATAATTAAAATAATAAGGAAGACCGCGGGGATAACAGTAATGCATAGAATGATTATTAAAAAGTAGATAAAGTTAGCCTGTTTTAGTCTAATCTCCGAGATAACAGGCTTTTTTAATCTTTTTATAGTATAATTATTTATAATGATGTTAACATTTTCTATAATCAAATTATTAATATTTTGATTTATAAGAGTGAAGCGGCTATTAAAGCGAATATATAATTATATATATAAGATATAACTCTTACCTGGTTTATCTCTGAACTGTCTGAAATTAAAAAGGATTAGCTATGTATTTAACCTGTTTATGATAGCTGGCTTATATTTTTATATTTTTATTTTAAAGCAAATCTTTTAGAAGCTTAGTTTAAGCTTTAAGCTCTATATTATATATTTACTGATATTATTAAGAGTAAGATATTTTATATATTTACTAAGGAATTTTTTTGTTATACCTGTAATACTAATCTTTTAGACCCTCTTAATCAGCTAATTATAATCTAGAATATATTAGATCTATTTTTTTAGTATAATATTTGCTAACTGTATTTTAATATATTTTATATAATTTTTTTTTAGGAATTATAGGAGCAGTATTTTCTTTAGTAAAATCTTACTGCTAAGTAAGACTATTATACTGGTAATTCTTAAAATAATTAAAGGATTTAAGCGCTATTAAGGACCTACAACTATAATTAATAGCCGAATTAGTAATTAAATAAGATTAATTATTAGAATTACCCCAGATATCAATATTAGCTAATATTATATTAATTTTACTACCCGTAGTTTACAAATAATCAGATAGTTTTATATAGTCCTAATATATACAGAAATTGTTAATAGTAATTAAATAATCGCCTTTAGTAAAGTTAACAGAATAACTAAAGTTATTAAGCCGGGCGCGGTTAAGGCCAGAATTCCCAGTAAGTTTAAGCTTCACCCCAGAAACCGCAGTTAGCAATTAATAATAAGTTATTTAATGTGAATTACAGTTAACAAAACTGTTATTATAAATATTAAAAGGCTAATCATAATAATTAATATTAATTATAAAATTAGAACTCTCGCCCGCTATATAACCGTGTGTATAAGACTAAAAATATAAGTAATAAACCTAATAAACCTGTATTTAATAAATTTTTTAATAATTTTTCTCCTAATTATTCTCTAAACATGCTATCTAATATTTATATAGTTTAAAATAATACTCCAGGAGACAACAGCTTTAATAATTTTAATAATTATAATTATAATAACTATAGTAATACTTATCTGGTAGATAATAATTATAATCAGGAACCTATTACTATATACTATAATTATAATAAAATCTTTTTTTTTAATAATAAACTTCACAAGTATCTGATTGATTGTATCCCGCTTAATAAAGTATCTAATTTTGACACTTCGCCTGCTATATTATATAATTTTAATATAATTAATAATATAGTTAGCTTCTCTGTTAAGTATAATAGTACTATTTTAATAGACCCCATAGCTTTAGTCTGGACTTAGCGCACAACTACTGTTAAAGTCAGTTTAAATCAGATTACTAATTTATCAGAAATTTATTTTAATACTGGTTATTTATGTATAATTATAAATATTTTATTTATTTAATTTATACTAAATATTATTTTTTATAAAGATCAGCCTGCGATTATAATTATTAGAATTAGTTCTTGCTATAAAATAACTATTATAGCTAAATTTTCAGTTTATTTTTTTTATATTAAGAACGGCCCTATATTCGCTCAGATTAATATACGCGCTTATATAGTGCCTAACATTTAAGCTAAAATCCTGCTCGGAACTAATATAATTATATTTAAAAATATTATCTTAGACTTTATTAAGCAGGAAAATACTATATAAACTTATAAAGATTTTATCTTTGTATTTACTTGCTAAGTATGTAAAAAACAGGTTATTAACTATCTTATTTATATAACTGTATATTAAGTTATCTAGCCACGAACCACTACCGCAGTATAAGTTGCTATAAAATTCCTGCTTAAGGCAGATAAGGATTATAATTTTAGAGTAAGTAAAAATACTTTAGTTAGCTATAAGGATTATCTAGTTAATATATTGTTTACTTTTTTAGAAGTAAATAATACCACAGACTATCTAATTATTATTTCTTGATATTATTATTTTAGCACTATTTCAGATATTTCTAACTTAATTTTAAACTATTAAGTTAATATTATTTTTTAAGTTAATAACTTTACGGGCCCCTGGAAAAAGAAACCCTGTTATATTAAATTACTGATATAATATATAATATAGTAGAATAAGTATTTTATTTAGTAAATCAGCCTTTTAAATAAGTCCAGTCAGACATACTTATATTAATAATATATTAAATATTTATTTGTTAAAGTGATTTTTAATACTAACATAAATTTTAATATTTATAAAACTAATAATAATAAGCTTATTAATTTTATAAGTTTTTTAATAAAAGTATTATCTAATAGTATTACTGTATTTGCAGGCAATAAGACTAATATAATTAAGTTAGAGTATCTAATTATAGATTATAATATTTGGGCCCTTCCTAATAATAATAATATTAGAGTAACTAATATTTTTAAAAAAGAATAAATAATTATTCCCATGCGTCCCGGTTAGTAATCCCGTATTCCTAAGACTAAGATATACTATTTAAACCTGCGTAATTAAGCTATAATTAATAGCACTTTAATACTGCTTTGTTAAGCCGGCAAGTTAGTGTAAGTAGTTAGTTATACTCTAACAGAGTACTTTATTTTTATAGTTTATTATCTTATTTAAAATAATACAGAGAAGGTGTTTAAGCTAAAAAATTATATTATTGTTAATTTATATAGCGCGAATATTAAGGCAGAGAAGAATTATTATTTTTTATTATTTTAAAACAAAATTATTATATTAGTTAAGGATTATTTATATATTTTAGTTATAAATACCGCGAAGTTTTTTTATTAATAGCCTATTCGTGAAGATCATCAGAATTATTTAGTAATAATTAATTATCGCGGTTAAGAGGTTTTTCGCGTTATTATAATAGATTTTATTAATAGTGTTTTATTTGTACAGTGATAGATGGATCATCTACTGCACGGTTTATTATTTGTTAAAATCTATATAGATAATGTAGTTATCGCGTCTATTTTAGTAGATAAGTATGTTAAATATTTATTTATAGTCTTTAATAAGTTTTTAATAATAAATCTTAAGCTGGAATCCTTAAAAATATTTATTAGATTTCTATCTGTACAGCTACTTAGTTAATATATTAATACTTTTAGTTTTTTTACGCCCGCGGAAAAAATTCAAGTAATTAGAGACTTATCTTTTCTTATAATACTTACTAACTTTAAATATTATATCAGCTTAACAGAATAATTTTAGTATTATATTATAAATTATATTATAATTATTACATTACTGCAGGTATATAAGACAGTTTTGTTAAAAGGAGCTCTGTAAAAGAATCCCGCCTCGTAGAAGTAATAAACAAGCATATTATTTATACCAAATAATAAAAAGTGTTAAGTATTTACTATTTTATAAGCGCGTTTTAGTGACCTACTATTTCTTATATATTTTAATATTTTTATACAGCTATACTATAATCTGGATACTTTATATATAGGATTTGAAGTTATTCTGTACTATCTTAATAATTATAATTATACAGATTTAATAAGGCCCCCTCCGCATATAGTTATAAAGCTAATTTTATTTTTGTTAAGAACCCTGATTACTGCTAAATTAAAATATTAGTTTATTAAACTTAAGGTATCTTATCTTATATAAATATTATATAAAATATATTATTTATTTAAAGTAGCAAGCGATCCTGCTATTATTTATATTAATTATATTTTTATAATAAATATTATCTTTTATATATTAATATCTAGCACTGTATCAGAAAGATTAAATTTATATTTAATTTATATATCCGTGTTTATTTAGCAGTTTAATCTTTATATTTATTACCGGCCAGGTAGTAAGAATATCTTAATAAATATATTAAGTTACTTACCGGCTTATTATCCAGGAATTTGCGATATTAATCTTAATACTGTTAAGAAATATAATATATATATTTTTTAAGTTTTAATTATATATATTAGTAATAACTTTAGAAAGTGTCTCTAAGATAAGTACAGTTATAATACACGGGTTATTTATATTATAAAAGTAGTATAAAATAGAAATTATATAATTCTATACAAGCTGTATAACAACCTTCTGTATATAAAGTTAGGTTTAAATAATTTTTAGCTATATATCCCTTGCTTAATAATAAAAAACCTATTTTATTCTATATATAATAATAATAATTATTCAGGATTCAATCGATGTGTTCAGAAGCTCGCCAGTTTCACTATTTATAAAAGCTGTGTATTATTATATAAATATATCTTGTAATATCTTAGATGTTTTTTTAATAAACCTAGGCGCTATTTTTCTTATAGTAATTTATATCTGATTATTCCTGAAGTGCTATTCTACTATATTATAATTAATTTTATTTCTAATCTACCTACTAATAAGAATTATAATATAATAATAATTTTAATAAATAAATTTACAAAATATATAGGTTTTATTCCTGGCTGTAAGGATTATAACGCAGAATATTAGGGATACAAGATAATTATCTATATACAAGTATACAACTGGGGTATTCCGGCTGTTATTATCTCTAACCGCGATCTTAAGTTCACAAGTAGTTTTTAGCGTGGTTTATTTAAAGCGCTTGATATTAAATAACTCTATTTATTAGCCTATTATCCCTAGACAGATAGTATATCTAAACGGATTATTTAAATTATTAAGATTATACTAAGGCACCAGATAGCAGCTATAAATAAAAAAGAATAGCTTGTTTTATTATTATTTATTATTATAATAATTAATTTTGCTCTAAATATTATAATATTATTAACTTCCCACAAATTAATATATGAAATATAACTTTATATATAATAAAATATCTTAAAAGGATGGTTTAGAGATGTCTAGGATTTTATATACCAGATAAATACCTAGAAAGCTTTATTATTTACAGCTTTATAGATAAAGCAGTTATTTGATAATAAGTACACATTATCTTTTACTTATATAAAGGGTTAATCCTATTTTCTAAAATTATATCATAGATATATTATACCCTCAGCTAAGTAGTTAGGTAAGTATGGGCCCTATTATACTAATTTTTTTAAAATTTTTAATATTTCTAATAACAGCTTAATTTATTATCTAAAATTTTTTTTAATATAGATAATCTATCTCTGGGTGTTAATCACCTAATTTAAACTATTAAAAGGAGATGCAGAGTTTAATTATAAATATTTTTGATTTCCGCCTATCACTAATAATACCGATCCTAAATATAAAATAGAGTATATTTTTAATAAATAGATAATTAAGCGCGGCAGATTATATACCGAATATATTAAGTATTTTATTAGATGAAAGGGCTACAGCGCTAAAGATAATTAATAAATTAGAAAAGATAATCTTTATTTTCCTGAACTTATTAATAAGTTTAAAACTATTTTATAAGTAAAGTAATATTTATTTTTTTGTTAATATATTCTTTTATGTCTTGTGCTATATTAATTACTTTTATTTTATTTATATCAGGTTATTAATTTATTCTATTCTATTAATTTATTTTATTTTATTTTATTAAGCGGTAATCTGTGTGGTAATTTTTTTTTTATACAATAAACTTTTCTGTGTGGTAAATTCTCTTAAGAATTTTAATAATTTTATTAATATAATTTTTTACCTGCTTTAATTTCTTTTTCTTTTATCTTACTCATACTTATAATTCTTTACTTATTTTCCTTTTTTTATAATAACTCTGTCATTTTCTTGACTTATTACTGAGTATATAATATTATTATATCTTTATTATTATCCTTACTATCCTTGCTATTATTATTTTTGCTAGTTATTACTAAAATAGCTAGGTAACTAACTTTAGGCTTCACGCCGGTAAATCTTAAGCTAAGTAACCCTAACCCAAAACCAAGTAACACAACAAATGCCTATAAGGAATCCTATAATAAGCTTTTATATGCAATAGAGAATAACAGTATTAATAAAGAGGATTAGTATGCTAATAAAGATATTATACAAAATAATTATAAGGAACAGTATAAGGATCAGAATAATATAAATAAAAATAATCAGGATAAGTAAAACCTGATTACACAAGCTATAATAACTCTTACAAAAGCTGTTATTTCAAAACAGATATTTATATGTTTTAAAACAGATAACTGGGATAATTTAATTATATAAAAGAAAAAATAATGCTGAAATAAATAAAAACATATTAAATAATAAATATCACACATGAATTATACTCCCGGTATAGCCTTTATATCTTTAAAGGATGCTATTGCGAATAAATGTAAGTATATAGTTTAATAATTAGCAAAGCCTTCGACATGGCTATATATAGATAGATATATAAAAAGAATCTTGTTAGGAAAAGTAATAATTAATATTTTATTTAAGTAAATCTACTTTAGTGATTTAAAATATGTAAAAATTATTTTAAATATTATTAAGATTATTTAACAAGATTATAATTTATAATACACAGTTGATTTTACCAGTAATAAAGACTTAAAAAAAAAGAGAGTTTTATATAATAACCCTGTTATTCTGAAAGGTAATGATAGCAGCCTATATATTATTATAGTTAGATTTTTTTACGCTTTAATTAGTTAGGAGCTTACTAAAAAGAACTAATAGGTTCTGAATAATATTATAACTAGGAATACAAGTTTTAATCTTTATATATGGAATAATATGCTGTGCTATACCAGATAAATACAGCTAAACTTTCTTAAGAAAAATATTTATCCCTATAAATAGGGTATATGACTTTAATTTATAGGCCGTACTTTACGTTATATTGCTCCTAATAATAATATCTTATTTATTATTATTACTGTTAGTAGTGTTAACACAAAGAGAAATATAAAATCTAAAGAAGATTTAATCTTTAAATTAAAAAAAAAATATATGATTACTAAGAATAATAATTCTGTTTAAATTTAAATCTTTATTAAGAAAACAAAATTCAAGAAATTAGTGGCTATTATTATTAATAAAGATAAATAAATTAAAAATAAGTAAATTAGCTTAATTATCAAATTAGAAAACAAGGATGATAAGATTCTTAAGTAACTACTTATTATTATTTTTAATTTATTACTTGATAAGTGTATTTTAGCGAATGTTACTACTTCTGCTCCGGTTATTATAACTAATATTATTATAATTATTAGCATCTAAAGTATCTAGATAAAAATATTACTTTCAGGGGCTAAGAAAATATCAGATAATATCTGGAGTTTATATCAGGAATTTAAGGATATACCGCTATTTAGGATATTTAATAAATTAGAAGTAATTATGCTTAAATTTTCCTTTTATACACAAGCGACTACTGTTATTAACATATTTTTTTACTTATATTTTTAAAATCTTGTTATACGGAACAGGAATCTATAGGAGAAGCTTGATATAGCCTTTTATATGCCTATGCCTGTTTTTATATCTTTTAGTAATTATTTAAGCCTGCGAGAGAATTAAGACATGCTTATCTAGCTTGTTATAATTTATAATAAAGTAAATAAGACTATATAAAAGTTTATTTGATATCTGATTAGGACGTACAACCACGCAATCGCGAATACTAAAGTATTACAGAATACAGCTTATAATTATCTAGTCGCGAATACTGAAGTATTATAAAATACTAATAATAATATTATAGATTATAAAAAAGGCTATAATAACGTAATAGTTAAAATTAAAATCTTTTAAGAAGATTTATCTAAAATATTAGTAATTAATAAGGCACTTATAAAGGATATTACCGCTCTGATTAAAGACAAGGATAATCTTACTAAGAGAAATACTAATTTTATTAAGAAAAATAATAATCTTTTAAAAGAGAAAAATAAGCTAAATAATACTTTTTTTATAATAAATAATTTTGTAAATACTAATGATATAAAATATATTAAACAGATTAATATATTAATTAAAGTAAAGAATAATACTGTTAAGAAAATTAATCTTTTATAGAAGGATTAGATTACTTTAACAGAATATATTATTATTTTATCCGCGGAAAACCTGACTATTATTATTTAAATTAAGGCTCTAAAGGAAAAGGATAAGGATATTATTATTGCTCCTGATGTATACTACTATAAGGATAATAGTATATAGACGGATGGACTGAT